AAAAAAAAAAAACATTATAAATGTCTTTACTGTCACTTTTGATCAGTTGAATGTATCCTTACTAAATAAAATAATTAATTTCTTTAAAAAAATCTTACTGACCCCTAACTTTTGATGGTATTGTCCTTTGTAAAAATTCCACATCGTAGCCATTCTAAAATATGCAAAATATTTCTTGCCATGATTGCCCAATCAAAATCAAGTATTCTAGAGAGCTGTGTAATAAGCTAATGTCATAATTTATGGTTTAACGGTGTAAACCATTTGTGGTAGTTTGGCTAAAATGTGGGTAAATGTATGTATGTATATATCAATATAACAAAGAGTGAAAAATTGAAGGGGGTCTGAATACTTTCCGTACCCACTGTATATCAGTGTTTGTTAATTAACAAGTACGTGAGAAGCAGTAGGTCTGCATTTATACACTCCATGCAGAACAGAGACTGTAGCTGTGCTGTTATTCCTTCCTTAACAGGTGTTTGTTTAAAGACTGATTTGCTGAACAAAGGGTCTTTACTAAGCTCCCATAAAGGCCTGATTCACATCCGTTCCATGTCTGTCTATATATAGAGCACCCAGAAACAGTAACACAGTACTCCGTCCTGTCAGCTAAACATGGCTGAGGGTTTCTGACTGCACACATGACGTGGATATTTTTTTTTGTAATATTTTAGTTTAACATGTACATTAATGTATAATGAAAAGTGGATGATAATTATAAAATTATTTAAAAATGCTGCTGCACTTTACCATGTTGATTATGCTTGAGGGTGTGCTCTAGCAGTAACTGTTGTTATTAATGTTATTATTGTAGAGTAGAGAATCACTCTGATTCCCTTGACAAAATCCAATAGGATTTTTCCATTTGCTTTCGGATATTGCAGATATTTTTGGTTTTTATACATTTTGTTCATCATGATAGTCTTTACAAATTAACACAACTTGTATGAATTTTGAAGCCTAAATACAATCACCAGAAGTAAAAAGCTGAATGTCGGCTATAAACAAACTACGCTAAGGTCACATGACTTCAACGCTACCATCACTAAGCTTCTGATAACTCTTTCAGTCTTCATGGGGAAATAAATAAAAAAACAACCCTTTCCTTCAAAGTTTGAGTTACAATAGTTAGCAAGAGAGCAAATATAAATGCAACAAGACTATGGACTAGTGAGTAGATGAGTTTTACCGTTCGGTTTGATGACGTTTAATGTCCCAGACAACCTCTGTAATCCCATTTAGCCACTTGTTTCAAGATGAGTAAAAGTTTAAAAAACAAAAAGTCAAAAGCGGGTATTACTGATGTATTCTATATTGTAGAATGAAACATGAAAATTACCACAGACCTTATTTCAGGCATTTAACCAAAAACCCATAGACTTGAGGATGATGGAACATGTTTCCAGGTTTTGTCCTACAAAAATATATCATCCCGGCAACAGTCTGTTACTAGAATAATAACATTAGTAACAGCAGTTACTTATAGAGCATTCTCACAGTAAACACAAGTGTAATCAACATGGTGAAGTCATATGTGACTTTGCATTCACAAGTTTTCTTGCATTCTTAAATTACCCACATTCATTTTTTTTTTATTCAAAATAATTAATTTTATAATAAGTATATAATATAAAATCCTGTACATTGACACTGGTGTGGATCCAGTATCACGCAACTAATGCAAGCATTTTCAATTACTGATGCCATTGTAGAAATGTGCTATTAGCCATGATTGATTTATTCAACAAGCAACAAGCATTTTCCCATTTTCCCCAAATTGTAGTATTTGATCAGGTGATCGCAACATGGCGGCACCCATATGAGATGGCCCATATCTCCATAAGAGATGTAAAATAAACCCACTTTTATTAGCCTACTAATATCACTGGAGTCTTTATGTACATCATTATAAACATATTTGTCTAAACTACAATATATTTATCAATGAGCAAATGCACCTGCAGTGTCTTTTGTCTGTCAGGCTTTGTTGGTGACATTCATTTCAAATGCATCCTAAACACTCCTGTCTGTTTTTCAGCGCCGTCATTATTACACACTTGTGCACCGCTAGCACCTTCTTCACATTGCTGTCATGGCTGCCAACATTTTTCAAGGACACCTTCCCTGATGCCAAGGTAAACTGAACTATGGCGTGTAAGAAAACAATCTGTGTCTTATATCAGTGTGTATACTGAGATTTCACTCCTTCTATGTGAGTAATTAATTTCTGAGAAAGAGAGAGAGCTGGTCATGTTAGCATGATGCTGCTGTGGTTGAACTCCAGCAGGGGGCTCCACATCACAGTGCATCAGAATGTGTGTTTGATTCCTATTCGCACAAGTGTATATCCACATGCATTGGACTTGCCTATTGTTCATTGCCTGTTCCTGTGTGCATCTGTCTGTCTGTGTGTGTGTGTGTGTGTGTTTGATTGTATGTCTGCATGTGTGTTTCCTCAGGGTTGGGTGTTTAACGTGATCCCATGGTTTTTGGCCATCCCTTCTTCCCTGTTTAGTGGCTGCCTTTCAGACCATCTAATCAGTCAGGGTACGAAACTACACAAATACACTCACCGTTTCTTGTTCAAAGATATAAGTTTGTTTGTTCCTCATGCTCATGTCTTTTTTGGTAGACAGTAGAAAGGCAATGATCCTTAGCGTCAACGTCTGCACTCTGTAATCATTGTTCTGTCGTGACTTTGCTCTTTCCCACCAATGTTACGAGTCTGTTGTAAATGTCAAGTCTACATGATTGTAACTGACTTATAAAACTGTTAAATGTTCCTCAGCTGGCACACTAATCCTCTCGCTCCTTTCTTTGTCTTTTAAAGGTTTTGATACTGCATCAGTGAGAAAACTCATGCAGGTATGTTTGAAATATACACTCTCTTATGCTCACCAAGGCTACATTAATTTGATGAAAAATACAGTAAAAAAACAGTAGTACTGTGAAATATTGCAATTAAAATAGCCGTTTACTATTTTAATATATTTTAAAATGTAATTTATTCCTGTAATGCAAAGCTGAATTTTCAGCATCATTACTCCAGTCTTCAGTGTCACATGATCCTTCAGAAATCATTCTAATATACTGGTTTGCTGCTCAAGAAACATTTCTTATTATTATCAATGTTGGAAACAGTTGTGCTGCTTAAAAAGTTTGTAGAAACCATGATATATTTTCAGGATTCTTTAAAGGGGTCATATGATGCGATTTCAAGTTTTCCTTTCTCTTTGGAGTGTTACAAGCTGATTGTGCATAGATAAGATCCCTGAAGTTGCAAAGACTAAAGTCTCAAATCCAAAGAGATATTCTTTATCAAAGTTAAGACTCTGCCACGCCCCCCTAAAACGGCTCGTTCTAACACGCCCCCACATATCTACCTCACTATGTGGAAATATTTGCATAATGCCGCCCAAATGTGCATGCAAAGAAAGAAGGCGTGGTTTCAGTAACCGCAGTTAGTGTTGAAGCAGCCATGTCAGGGAGACGCTGTGTGTTTCTAGGCGAAAGCAAAAGCACTTTATTTGGCCTTCCGAAAGTAGATGCATTTAGGAATCTTTAAGATTACTTACAACAGAACAGCAATGCATTTTATGGACGACCGTTTCATGAACCTAGGAGAGGAGGTAATTCTGACTTTGCTATGACAATCTGGCGCTTCTGAATCCGCTACTGTTTTGTTATTAGTTTAAGTATTTGCTATTGACTGTTCAAATGCGGAGTTTTGCACCTCGTGTGTGTGTGTGTGTGTGTGTGAGAGTCTGTCTGTCTGTGTGTGTGTGAGTCTGTCTGTGTGTGTGTGAGTCTGTCTGTGTGTGTGAATGTGTCAGGGTCACATCACAGTGGAGTCAGCTGTCTTAACCAATACCAGCTTCATCACTGTGTCTGTCACGCGACTCTGTTCCACTTTCGGGCTTCAACTGATGGTAAAACTAATGACATTATTTACTGTCTTTACATTTATTTTGAAAGATGAAGCTCACGATTATGGTAAGGGGCGTTACATTTCCGACGAGTGCTTGCGGAGTTCGGCCAATCACAGTGCACTGGGTCAGCTGGCCAGTCAGAGCAGACTGCACTTGTCGGAAGGAGGGACTTTGTAGAAAACTAAGCGTTTGAGAGAGGCGGGGCATATAGGACCTACAATAATGTACAGTATTTGAAAAATAATGTGTTTTTTGAACATTAAAGCGTCAACATATTCTGTTACACCAAATACACAAAATAATGATCTTTAAAAAAGCATCATATGACCCCTTTAATGAATAGAAATTCCAAATTGGCAGCATTTATTTGAAATGGAAATCTTTTGTAACAATAAATGTCTTTACTGTCACTTTTGATCTATTTAATGCATCCTTGCTGAATAAAAATAAAAATGTATTTCAAAAACTGTGTATACAATATGTATTATTGTGTTTTTCAGTTCTTCTCTATGGGCGTCTCCAGTGTGTTTACTCTGTTTCTGTGTGGGACCACTACCTTCCCCACAGCTGTGGCTTTTGTGTCCGCAACTATGGGCCTCACCACATTCAGCCACAGGTAATGTCACTCACTGCTTACTCGTGCATTGAAAAAAATGAAATAGTAGAGCATGGTCATAGCTTGATTTCTGTTAATTCAAGCTCCAATAAATTGTTTGTAAAAGTGTCTGCCAAATGCATGAAAGTAAATGTGAAAATGTAATTGTGTCTCTCTAGTGGGGTTTCAGTGAATGTTCAGGATCTCGCTCCATCCTGTGCAGGGGCTCTGTTTGGTATATAGCATTCTCTCTACTTTAATCCACACTATGATTGCACACTTAAGGCTAACTACATTAGCTTTCGTACCAATGGACAAGAACATTGTTTATTCTAAGTGTATGCATAAGTAGAAAGGGTTTTGATTGGCTGTCAATGGTTTTATTGTTCATCAGCCGAAAAAAAAAAAAAGCTCTGAAAGTGATTGTAGCCAGGGTTATTTTCGTATCATTAAAATAGCTTTTATTCATATTTTGAGCTAGTTTCTATATTTTCTGTTTTCATTTTAATTTTAGTTAAGTTTTTACATTAGATTTAGTCTTTTTTTTTTTCATGCGTTTTTGACTTTTTATTAGTTTTTTTTTTGTTTGTTTGTTTGTTTCAGTACTTAAACTTACTTTATTTCAGTTAGTTGCCAAGTCAACATTTCTATTTTTTTTGTTTGTTTGTTTAGGTTTCTTCATTATTTATTTTCCATTAATGTTGATTTTATTTCAAGTACAATTTTAATTGTTTTTTAATAGTTTTAGTCAATGTTCCTCTTTGTCATTATCGTTATAGTTGCAGTGTGAACATTTTTTTAAAAACTTTGTAGTTATAGTTATTGTTAGAGTTATCATTCTTGGTGTGCACGTATTTATTGTAATTTTACAATAAGCAATATGTCTGCTATTTAAACAGTACAGGGAATATTACCAGTCAGTCTCATTATTTCATTTGTCTTTTCTAAATCTGTAAAATGTTTTGTTTTTTTCTTTCTTTCAGGAGTGATGAATACCTGTGGAGCATTTACAGGCAAGAACAGTATAAAAACATTGATATTTTATAAATGTAAAATTTATATTAATCACTTTATATCAAGGACTCAATGTCAGTTTTTAAGTGGATTGTTAGTGTGCTGTATGTGTTAATGTTGTTGTATGTGTGTTTGTTAGGGGTCATCATGGTGTATTTCTCGGGGTATCTGATCGAGGCCACTGGTTCCTGGGCATCCGTTTTTGGCCTCATCACGGTACTGAACCTGCTGGGTTTAGGAACATTTTTAAGCTTCGCAGAAGCTCGCAGAGTGGACATCGATCTAGCGAAGGGCCGTTACCACAACATCCACATCTGAGAGCACAGGACGGGAGCAGAGCAGCAGAAAGGACAGGCTCTGACAGAAACCTTTCTGAAGAAGGACGTCCCAAACACTCACTGGCTTCTTCATTATGGTTCTTTTATTTTCTGTTCGGCTTTTCTTTGGCTGAAGAGAATCTAGGAGAAGCTGTAGGAGATACTTAACCGATATGGATCTGTTATAGATCACTAGGAGCCACAGTATGAAGTGTGTTACTGAATATTTTGTTAAGGTCCTTGCATTCATTCATTTTTATTTTATCCTGTTGCACTTGTGTTGGTTTATGGTAGCAGTTTCTTTAATGTCATCATTACTGTGACCAAAGCAGTTCAAACCATTAATTAATCAGATGAAGACCAAAAGCTAGAGCTTGAGTGTCTGAGTACTGACAGTTTATTAAATTATTGTTAATACCATTTGTTTTGGCATTGTATGACATTTTAAAATACCTCGTCTCAGACATCTCGGCTGTTTTTCACACTCAAGAGTGTGATAGAGATTACAGTTTGTTACTGCAGAATTAAGAGTATTACTGTCATTTAATGAAACATGTGCTAGGTCATCTTGTCATTGGCTGATCCTTCAAAGCATTTTCTTTGTCTCAGCTGTCTGCCGTTGAGAAGAGTTTCTGATCTTTAAAGGATGTTTTTGTTTCAAACTGCTAGTTTGCTTTTTGTCTTTGATTGATTCAGTCATTAGAGACCTTCTCTCGATGGGTCATTTGCTTGGACCAAGATGTTGCACGATGAAATGATGAATGTATTATGGTGATAAGCTTTATTATGTAGAGACAAGATCCTGAACGTTATATCTAACTGGGAATTATTTGACCAAAAATATTTCAATTCGATTCAAAAACTAAAGCATATGTTTGGCCACAAATAAAATGTTACTGTTTAGTTACGTTAAAGAACTGAAGGAAAAGCAAGGACTCGGAAGGCGCTTTAATGGTTCTTATTTCAATGTGCATTAAAACATGCAACACATTTTTGCTGTTCTTGCAGGCCTATTGCTAGGGATGATCATGGCAGATTTGCAAAGAAACAGGAAAAAAGACTTGAATTGTTATATATCACCATTCTCTGCATGAGACTCAAGGAAATTGTATTTCTTTCCAGAACATAAAATCATAAGAAATATGTTCACAAAGGTTATTTGTTATTAAAATGGTATTTTATACATAGATTAGATATCACTGTGTGTAATATATACAGTAGACAATATTTCAGAAAACGTTTATATTTATTGATTTATATCTGATTTAGAGGTTAGATTGAAAATGTTTATAATCTTTGCTTTATACATATTGTATGTTTTTTCTGCATTCTGTTCTCTCTTGTTCCTGTTTTGACTGATGAAGTTTTATAGAAATGCCATCTCACATAAATAATGTTCCATTCCATTTAATGCAGTTTAATTTGATCTTTAAAGTGTTCTGCATAACTGGATTATAATTGTGGGGTTTGTTCCTTCATCTCAGCTGATAATAACTTGCATTAGAGTAGCGATGACGAAATTTAGCATATTTATTACGCTTGCGTCATTCCTTATTAAACTTACTTCACTCAAAACTAGGAAATACAACAGATGATCTGTGAATTAATGCAGTGTCATACCATCCTGAGTTGAGGGTGAAAGCTGCGTTTCACAGAAAACTGAATCAGTCCATATTGTGTTTTATTTTCGAGACAAATGTCACATGAAAAAGAAATGTAAACAATGTAAATGCAGTATTCTTTACTTGTAAGCATATTTTGCTGAAATCTAAAAGTATATTTTATCAAGATTAATATGTTTTGTGTATTAATTTATACCTCCAACAGAGCGATCCAAGACATTGAAGATGTATTGTGAACCACAACACCAGGAGAGTCTAGAAAATGAGGTTTTACGCACAATTGTTTGCAGTGTTACATAATCCTGCCATTTTATTATGTTTTTTTTTTTTCCCAGATTTTTTTTAATTTTAATTTTATTGTTTCACCTTTGTCCCAAACTGGAACAAATGTTTTAAAATATGAAAATCCATAGTAATTTTTTTGTTTTTCAAACTAGGGTAGTCTAAACAAAGTGTGAGTCATCATCAAAGCATTTCAATATTGTCTGATATGTTTTTATAATATATATTTAAATGTATTTATAATATTTTTTAGATAGCTTATGACTTAAGTTGTGCCATAATTTCCACAATGACTAACTAAAAAAATATAATGTAAGAATTTACCAGGAAGACAACTGTGTCAGTTAAGAACTTGAGATGAAATCTGAGATATGATGAATGACAAAAACAAAGAAAAGGTAAAAAAAGGTCAATAATGGACACTCATTTCAGCCACTTAAGAAAATATAATGCTTTAGTAAATCAAAATTATGACATTAAAAAGTAGAAATTATAAGGTAAAAGTCATAATTATGACAGTCAAAATTATTAGATAGTCATAAATAGTCAAAAGTCATAATTAAGACATAAGTCAAAATATGTGTTTCACTGAAAACTGAATCAATCCTTATTGCATTCTTATTTTAGAGACAACTGTCAGGTAAAAAGAAATGTAAAACAATGTAAATTAGGTATTCTGTATTTGTAAGTGCATTTTGCTGAAACATAAAATAATATTTTCAAGGTATATGTTCTGTGTTTTAATTTCCACCATCAGTGATCCATAACATATTAGCGTTGTATTGAGAGCCACACCACCAGGGGGCAGCAGAGCCCATAAAATAGTGTGGTGAAGTGGGCCTACCTCAGGTTTACAGTCCTCTGACTGAGTCTGGCACAAACATTTCAATGCTGAAAAGAGGCCTTTATGCGTGTAATTGAAAGTGCGTGGGTGGGCATATGTGCGTGTTTAACTGGAGTGTCATGGCTAGCACCTCCCGACTGTAGCATCATTACACCTCAGTTTCCAATCTGGAAACTTCACCAACTTCGCCCAACCATCAACTTCCACACAGCCTTTTTAGTATACTTCAGTTCTGATCATCTACATATATTAACAGACACTTTCACGGAGCTCATTATTCTGAGCAGCCGAAATATATGCCTGCAAGTAGCCTGTGTTGGAAAGGCCAGCGCGCTAATGAATCTTGTAGAGCCATATTGCGGCAACTAGTCGTTCACACTGTTGTCGTAATTCCAGAGCAATATCAGCATAGATGGACGTGCAGGTCTTCCTCTGCTTCTGTCGCAGATATATGGGGTGGCACCATATGGCAGGTCGCTGCGTGCCATGCTGGTGAGTTGGCAATATGTGCGTGTGCCAGGCATCCGTCACCCCTCTCACGGGACTCTCTCAGGCTACCATAGAGACAGATGGCGATGCCGCTTACCGTGGTGGTGGGAAGGGGGGTGAGATCAGGGGCCTGGGGCAAAGTGGGCGACACTGTGTCACACCTGAAGATGAGAGGTGCTTGTATTCATTTGGAATTTCCTCATTTTGATGCATGTATTTATGTACTCTGTGAGTACTATAGAGAATAACGTCCCCAGGCTTTCAGAGTCTGATATGGTTAATGTCCAGACTGTTTGAGTGACAATATCCAGATCTCTGCTTATGTGTGGATGAATGTTTGTTTGTGTGCGATTACGCAGATTACAGTGTTGTATTCTCCAGCCATTTTACAGATGCAATTTTATTTTATACCCTTGTCCCAAATTGGGACAAAGGTTGTAAAACAAAAAAGAAAGAAAATGTTGAGCATTTTGAGATACGATGTGTGACAAAAATAAATATTAGAAAAATAGAGAAAAATCAAGGTAAATATATGGAAGCCTATTTCAGCCACATAAGAAAAATAAAATCTGGGTAAATCATAATTACGAGATAAAAAATTCATGATTATGATATAAATAAAATTCGAAAGTATGAAATAGTCATAATTATGATGACATAAAAAGTTGAAGGTATGACATACTTAGAGATTACAAATTGAAATGATGACATAAAAATCCAAAATTATGACAAAATTATGAGATCAAAAGTTTTAGTTTTGACATAAAAAGTAAAAAATATGACAAAAATGTTTTAAAAATACATAAAAGGTCATAATTATGACATAATTATGACAACTATTTATCAAAAAATCTCAAAATACAACTTTTTATATAAAATGATTTGTAATAGTGTAATTACTTAGTATTTCATCATTTTAATTTTTTATCGCTGAATTATGACATCCCATATATCACAAAACATATAGGATTTGGACATTTTTTCTACCAATGTTATTTTAATTGTGTCATTTCCTCCACAGAATGCTTTTAAACACAATGCATCATTTGAGATGTGTTGGAAATGATAGTGTGCTGGAAATGATCATAAGGTTCAGAAGGAAAAAAAAAGAAAAAATGAAAGAATCCTCCAATGGTACATATATAGGAAGGTCCCATGCATTTACAGTTGAACTGGAGAGACAATGACTGTATGTGGGTTTTATTTTACATGTGTACACGTGTTTATTAACACATCCATCAGCTTTCAATCCACATGCCATAACGGTCCATTCAACAAAAGTTTACATGCCGCGTGAATATGGCATGGTGAGAGATTCTGATGATGTTTTAACATTGACAATAGATTTTAATGACTTTTAAATGTCTATAATCTTAAAAACATAAATGATTCTAAAATAAAATCTTGATATGTCCCATTACTAATCTTTTGGTTTAGTGAATTTGAACAACATCAGAACTGAGGTAGGGCACTGTATGTTTTCGGGATATTATTGAATGTAACACAGCTGGTTGTGACATGCCATAATATCACAGTTTTTACGTATCTTAAGGATCGTGGCAAAGCCCTTAATTAACTCACGCGGGAAGTGACAGAGGAACAGCCCCCTGCGTGCATTATTGGTTTTCGTCACAATGGAGGAGTAAAGAGCCTGTCAGAGGAGCGGGAGATGCGCCTGAGTGAAATAGCGCTCTTAATTACTAATTAACTTCAAGCTAATGACAATGTCACTGTGTCGTAGTCTCAACGAATGTCCCCCCCAAACTCAGACCTGATCTGCATGTTAATTAGTCTAACACATGCACTGTTTAGTCTCCATAATAAAAATGATTTATATTATAGATATCAAATTCATAAGAATACATTTTATTGCACTTAAAATTTTTTGGGAACACAATTCCAGTCCCAGAACAACAATAGAGACTACTTTAATAATTTAATAGAGTATTTAGTGAACAAATTCATATTTTTAGAGACTGCTGAACACACACACACACACAAAAGACTTGGAAATATAGTCAATAAATAAACAACAACAAAGATATTCTATGACCACAAGAAAGCTCCAAGCTCCCATCTCTCTCTCTCTTCTGTTAAAGGCTGAGCCCTGTGGCTATAAACTCTCCTTCCACTAACTAAATTACTACCACTGTTTTGCGTTCCCTGCAGAGCGACTCTAGTGTTGCTGATCACCAATCATTTCCTCCCGCTCACATCTCACACAAACGTGCGCGTGTCCAGATATGTTGATTTCTGTCAATTATCTCAGTCAGGTGTTGGCCTCCTGGTCAGCATATGGCCGGCGTTACACACACTGTCCTGTAGCTCGGCACAGAGAGGGACACTATTTTAATGGAGCCCTCCGGGACAGGACCCCACACCTGCGCTCATGTCATGCTAAGGAAGTGTCGGTCAAGCACCCATATAAAATAACAAGAGGTGTTGCAAGAACTCAAAACATTCTCATTGTCTCAATGAAGCCTGTACCAGATAATCATGAATGCCACCTCTGTAGATGCGCTAGTACCGTTTGGCAATGCAAAGAGCAAAAATTAGACAATGAAACTCAATCAGACAATATTATCCTGCTTTACATACAGACAACAGGAGAATTAGTACATGTACAGCTGAAGAAGCAGAAAGCTTCTGAAGCCAGAAGGCGAAAACAAGAGTGAACATAAATTTGATGTGATGCCCAAGTTGCTTCTTTTTTTGTTTGACAGGTAATATATTTATTATTGTGTAGACCGCTACTAAACTCAGTGTGATTTCAGTGTAATTTACATAAAATAACATGGGGTATTGGTACCAACACTAGCTAAAGAACTATGAATGCCCCTTAAAATAGGGTGCAAAAACCATAAAAGTAGTATAAAAGTGGTCCATTCAGCTATATATAAGTCATACAATAGCTTTGGATCAGAAAGAGAACAAAATTAAAATCAGCGTTCACTGATAATTTATCCTCCAGTGAGATACTGAAGGAATTGTTCACCCAAAAATGAAAATTTGCTGAAAATTTACTCACCCTCAGGCCATTCAAAATGTAGATGAGTTTGCTTCTACATCTGAACAGATTTGGATAGATTTAGCAGCATTATTTCACTTGCTTACCAATGGATCCTCTGCAGTGAATGGGTGCCGTCAGAATGAGAGTTCAGACAGCTGATAAAAACATCACAATAATCCACAAGTAATCCACATGACTCCAGTCAATCAGCTAATGTCCTGTGTAAAGCTGCATGTTTGTAATAAAGAAATTCATAATTATCTATCTTTAAGGCACTTTAATTGTAAACCGTTGCTTCCAAACAAAATACCATAATCCATAATAACCCTTCCTCCAGTTCCTCCATCCTCTGTTGTCCTCTCACATCAAAATCCACCAACATATCTGTTTAGAACTGTTTTCACTTGTAAACGGCACTTGATCTGTGCATTTCTCTCCTGATTCGGAAGAGATGACTTTTCCACTGGAGAAAGTAATATTATGGATAAAGGACTCTTTTAGCTGGAAGCAACAGTTTTAAGTTAAAAATGCCTTCATGATGAATTTGTTTATTACAAACATGCAGCTTTTCGCTTCACCAGACATTAATTGATGAACTGGAATTGTGGATTATGTGTGGATTATTATGAACAAAGCATTTACACCGATTTTGTGATTCAAATGATTCACTGAAAAGATTCAACCCAAAACAAATTATTTGTTTACAAATTTGACGTAGCACCTTTTCTCATTTACAGTTATGAAAATATCAAGGAGAGCTAGGCCACGTCAAGTTTTTTTAATGAATTAAATTTGACTTAAATTCACACATATTTCAGCTTGATTCTCACATAAAGGCTATCATATGATTTCTGAAAACTTGACATACAGTATGTTATACAGTTGACATAAGTCATACAGGCCAACTTTTATGATACCGTTATGCTGCTTTCTTTTTTGAAGCTTTAACACTCTAGTCCTCATGAAAAAGAGCTACCAACAAAATCGTCAAAACATTATCTTTTGTCTTCCCCAGGAGAAAATAAGTCATTCAGCTTTGGAACAAAATAAGGGTGAGTAAATTAAGACATAATTTCATTTTCAGTTGAACTGTGCCTTTAAAGTTATTTGTTGAGGACAGCTGCTGTTATTTGGGACTGTCTGTATTTCTTACCATTGATTGTTCTGATATCGTTGATAGAAAGAGACAGAAGAACACAGAAATATGCTCCTGACAGTTAGTTCTCTAGTCTACTTTTTTTAAACACACACACACACACACACACACACACACACACACACTGCAACAAATGGCAAATGTATGTTTACAGAACAATATGATGCATTGCTCTGGCAGGGAGTTGTCGTATGCTGGCCTCTTCAGAAAATAACTTTCCTTCCAGGCTGAGGGTCTCAAATGATCACACACAACAATGTGTTTAATACTCACTTAATTCTCGCTGTGCTCATTGAGGAGCACGTTTCATAATTGTACAAGTGATAGTGTTGTATGTTCTTAAAGGTATAGTTCACCCAAAAATGAAAATTTGATGTTTATCTGCTTACCCCCAGGACATTCCGGCGCTTGCGTAAACTACGCCAGAGCGCGTACACACCTCACTCACGGATGCTGTGCGCGCGCCCAAAGACAGTTGGACATAGTGGTGTATTAGAGGTAAAAAATTATATAAATACTGTTCGGTTTCTCACACAAACCGATCGTTTCGTGTCTTAGGACATCAACGTGTCGTCACGAGCCGCAGGGTTTAATTTGGATTTGTCTGTGCATGTTTTTTTTACCCTCATAGATTTTGTTACTATTGCCATGCATTATACGACTGATAGACTGCCATGGTTAAAGTTAAAAATCATCATATGTGTTCTACTGAAGAAACAAAGTCACCTACATCTTGGATGCCCTGGGGGTAAGCAGATAAACATCTAATTTTAATTTTTGGGTGAACTATCCCTTTAAGACCTGGACAAGAAGACTTCCTATCAAAGGATCTTTATTAGCTCAGAGCTTTGGTGAACCGCTTCAATCCTCTGACAGCCTCCCCTTTGTTGATTATCAGCTCATTACGCAAGGAAATTTCATTCTCTTGTTTCAAACTGAGCAGTCGCTGTAAGTCATTAGCTCAAAATGTGTCATCGCTTATCAGCAAAGCTTTGCAGCACTAAAATAGCTGAGCTTCTTTTAGTCTGGTAAAGTTAACGGGATGGGCTCAAACAAAAACTAAACTTGTCATCATTTATTCACCCTCATGTTGTTCCAAGCTCATTTTCTTCCTTCAGTGGAATCAGAATTTCTTCAGAAGATATTTCAGTAGAATTTCAAAGTGTCTGTTTTCCATACAATAAAAGCATATATTAACCAGGTGCTGTCAAGCTGACAAGTAAAGTTTCCTGATTTCAATTCAGAATGTTCACTGATTGTTTTCAGCGGTCTAGTTTATCTAATAAGTCTTCAACCCTGCTCCTGGGGACCCACTGTCCTGCAAACTTTATCTCCAGCCTGCTTCAGCATACCCAGCCTATGATTTTTCAAGTAATCCTGAAGATCTTGATTAGCGGGGTCAAGTGTGTTTAATTAGGGTTGGAGCTGAACTATGCAGGACAGTGGGTCCCCAGGAGCAGGGTTGAATACATGATGATGGGCAATAAAACAGTCACTGGCAGTTACCTCTTAAAAATAAAGGTTCTAAAAGGGGGTTTTTGCAACAAAGCCATAGAATAACCATTTTGGGTTCCTTAAAAAAACGTTTCAGTAAGTTTGTAAAATAACCATTTTCCACTATAAAGAACCTTTTGTGCAATGGAAAGGTTCTATGGATGTTAAAGGTTCTTCATGGAACCATCAATGCCAATAAGAACCTTATATTTTGAGCTGTGAGGTCACGTAATATGAAATAAACATTGTGTGTCTGAATTAAAATATTGACATATGTAAACATTCAGATGACTTTTCGTTTTGTTCAACGGAAGAAATATGGGACAACATGTGGGTGAATAAATAATGACAACATGTTCATTTAGTGGTGAACTGTTCCTTTATCGTTAAACAGTGTTGTTCAGGAAGCAGTTTGTTTTGCATTCAAAACAGCATTTTTACATATCTTGTGCCACAAAAACACAAGTGCACGGCTAAATCTCTCTCTGTGCTTCTGTCCATGCCCTGTGTCTCTTTCCCCCTCCACCAGCTCTCTGTCGTTCACTAAAGTTTGGCTGTCAATCAGATCTACCCTCCGGCTATGTGCACTGATTAAAAACCCCCAGAGATAAGGAGACCTAAATTAGATTTCAATAAGGCCATTGAATATTCATAACAGGAAAACATCTAAAGGTAAATGCTTTTTGATCTCGGCTTACAAATACCACTTGTGTGCATTCCCAGGTCCTTTCACTCGGGCTCCAAGTGTCGCTGTGCCACGGTGAGCCGGTCCGGCTCCTCCGGGGGATGCGGATGATACTGATGACAGCCTCCATGAAAGAGGCTGGCCATTAATTATGTTTATACTAAAGGGACTCAATAGAAAGGTCACCCACACTAAGCATCCATTAATTAGTACAGCGGGAGAAGTTGACTGGGTGAAAAAGATGGAAAAGAAACTGACTCGCACACATACGGAGGACTCCATTAAAGCAGCGGGATACTATTATTGAATAAGTTTAGAGGGTGTGTGCGAGCGAGAGCTCCAGCCGGACCATAAACCATTCTCCAGACAGCTTATTTATGTCGTTTTCTACAACTTCTGGTTTTACGTCTTTAATGAAAATGCCAGCAGAGTGTGTGGTGCGAGTAGCTAATATCCATGTTTCTAATGATATTATAGCTATAAACCCAAAGGCTAATTACAGTTCTTTATTTGTAATATATGCTTTGTATCTCGTTGTTTTTAATTAATTTACATTTAATCAATGTACTTCTATAGGTGAAACTAGGGTCAAGGACTTCAGATTTGTGTTTCGTCATTCATTTGACTGCAGGAGTGCATAAAAAATACTATGCATACTCTTCTGTACTACATAGGAAGCTATGTAGAAATGTATCTGCAAAATATTTCTGTTGAAATTCTGAAGTGCGCATCCAATGGACACTTTATTATGAAATTGTAGGTCACATGACAATGCCAACTTGGTGGATGCACCATTGCCAGGTTTGCAAAAACACAACCCGGGACTGTACAAATCCAAAACAAGACCATAGTTGCTTATCAGTGTTGGGGGTAACGCATTACAAGTAACGCGAGTTACGTAATCAGATTACTTTTTTCAAGTAACTAATAAA